TGTATTCTGTCACTTAATCCTTATGACAGCCTTAGCCTAATAAATATTAATAACTCTCTTAGGTATCATTATCGCCATTTTGCAGATGAGGAAACAGCGGCTTAAAGGACTCTCCAAATTACTAGTATAGCAGAGCTCAGATTCAAATGTAGGTCATTCCACTTGCACAGTCTCTGACCTTTCTACTGTACTCAACTGCCTTTATATAGACCATTTTGTTTTTGCTGTTTTTAGTAAAGAATAACAAGGGAAGCTTTAGCAAGAAACGCCAATGTTTAAGAAAATAACATCAATTTACAGGATTTTAAACCTCCACTGTAAGCAGGAGGCTTTTAAAACAAACACGACCACCACCATCACACACACACACACACACACACACACACACACACACACAGGAACAGACTAGCCCGACACAGACCTCTCTGCTCTGAGAAAAATTCCAAGAGAAATGTGTACACATTCACAACTTGCAGCTGGAGTGTCTATGAACCCTTGAGTGTACAATGTCTTATTATCCATCATTGAATTCCCAGAGGCTAATGCGTTCTCAGTAAATGTTTGACAAATGTTTACTGAATGAATTATATCAACCCAGCAAACAAAATGCCTCACTTGGAGTTGGCAATACATATAACATCTTTCCCAAATGTTGAACTTAAATCATTGAATCTTAATAAACTATTATCAATTTACCACTCTGTCCAAAGCATTTTGCTGAAAATTTAAGTTATATAATTTGTCCCTTTTTAAAAAAACCATGAATTAATTTTGATAAAGTGATCGAGTTTCTTTTCAACCTACTGTTTTTTTTTTGTTTGTTTTGTTTTGTTTTTTTTTTGAGACAGAGGTTTGCTCTTGCCCCCCAGGCTGAAGTGCAGTGGTTCGATCTTGGCTCACTGCAACCTCCACCTCCCAAGTTCAAGCAATTCTCCAGCCTCAGCCTCCTGTGTAGCTGGAATTACAGGCATGCACCACCATGCCCAGCTAATTCTTTGCACTTTTAGTAGAGAAGGGGTTTCATCATTGTTAGACTGATCTTGAACTCCAGAACTCAGGTGATCCACCCATCTTGGCCTCCCAAAGTGCAGGGATTACAGACGTGAGCCACCGCACCTGGCCTCAACCTACATCTTTGGGAAGATAATATACTATGTTAACCTTTCACCTGGATTCCCAGAAGACGTTGTGAGCTTCACCTGGGAGCTCAGCTTCAGCAATTATCATTAAATCAGTCCTCAGGAAAAAGAAAAAAAAAGTTTGCCTAGTGGGTATTTCCTCTCTTTGGAGTTTACTTCTGCTGGCAAAACCAAACCCCAATAGTATTCTGATCATGTACAGAAGAACTTCACATTTAAAATCCCCACAACCTTAAAAAAGGACTCATCAAAATGAAGATATGCATAGTAATAATGGTAAGGATTCCAGTTAATATGTTATAAGATCCTTGATAATCTTAAATGATACGGCTTTTACCAAAGTGTAAATACATTTTCATCAACTCCAAAATTACATATTATATTTATCACAGTGCATAGGAATAGTAGCTGACGTTTACTCTGTTCTTACTAAGCTAAGTAACTTTAGTCATTAACTCAATTTTTGCAACAATCCTATGAAGATGTTCTATTACTGTCCAATGTCCTGCAGCTCAGAGGCATTTATTTAATAACTTGTCCAAGGTAATATATGCCTAGAGGCAGATGTGGGATGTGTACTCTTGTCTAACTCTAGAACCTAAATTTTTCTTCTAATTCAGGGAATGCTTTGCATACAATAAAATGCACAGGTCTTCGGTGTTCAGTTAGATGGGGGTGGATAATTGTGTATACCTATGCAACCACCAAGAGAAACAAATTATAAAACATTTCCATCATTCCAGAAAATCCCTTATCTCTTTCTAGTCAATCCTTACCCTCTGGCAACCACTGACTTCTGTCATAGATTAGTTCTGCCTGTTCTAGCACTTCATGAATAAAATTGCTTATTCCTATTTTGTATCTGGCTTCTTTCAGTTAACATGATGCTGTTGAGACTCATCCAGGTTTTTGTATCAAGAGCTCATTCCTGTTGATTGCTGAGTAGTATTGCATTGTATGAAAAGTGCCACTGTTTCTTTACCCATTTTCCTGTTGATAGATGTAGGGTTGTTTCCAGGTATTGGTAATAAGGTTGCTATGAACATTCTGTACAAGTCATCTGTGGACATTTGTTTTCACCTATCTTGGGTAAATACCTAGGCGTGGAAATGCTGGGTCATAGGCTGGTGTATGTTTAACTTTACAACAAAATTAATTTCTTAATCCCTGCACCCTACACCTTCCGAATGGCACTAGCTTATTAACATGTTTTATTTTGCCTCTTAGGAGTTCCCTGAGGGCAGGGAACTCATCGCCAGTTCCTGGGATGCCTCCCACACAGTAAATGATTGCTGAGTAAATGAATGACCATTGTTGATGCCCCTATTCCTTGTTTAGGTGTTACAACAGCATAAGAAAACTAGTTTTTCACATGCATGAAGAAATTCCGCAAGCTGAAAGCTGTGAAATGGAGGCACTGCTCATTCAGGCAAGGTGAAGACTGCTCGGCCACGAGGCTCTATCTCCCAATCTTCTTTCTGACATGACCTTCCCTAGAAAGTGAACCCCTCTCAGTGATCCTGCAGGAGAAACAGCTCCTGTTCAAGTGATACTACGGAAGGGGAGGAAGGTGTCAAGGCAATTGAGGTCACACAGTGGTTAGAATTACAGGATACTTCTGTCAAACAGGAGGGCAGAGGAAGCAGCAACCCATGAAATCCTGACCTTCTTGAAGTCACCAGCAAAACCTCAGCACTGCTGGAGTCCAGAGAAACATCCTCGAACAGAACTTACAAGAATACTTGGTTTTGGCCAAAGGACTATATGGGTTCTACATGAAAAGAGAAAGCAAGAATAAACATTGAACAGACAGTAGAATGTTGATGTTTTAAAAATGTAACCAGATTTAACACATAAGACAGGATTCTAAAAATAACACTAGGTTAAAAGTGGAGAAAGCTCAGACACACTCCTCACACATACCCTGCTCACCTTTGAGGCAAAACTTTTAATTCCCATGAATCAGTTCACTTACTTTAAAATCATAGAATTTATACTGTGATTCACCTATACTTTCCTAGAAAACAACTAAATCATTGTTGATTTTTACCTATAATAGAAAAGGATTGGTAAGTCCTAAGAATAATTTAACATACCTGTTACCAAAGGACGACTTTTGTTTCACATAAATCAAAACAGGGCTTCACATCCTACTGGGCTCAGGTACTTTTGGCAATCTTAATTTGCTTTGGTCCCAGGTCAAAATTGAGGAATTCTAAACAAATTTTGGAATTCCTCAATTTTGAAGTTCAGACTGGTGACCTCGTCTTCCTTTATCCAGACAGTACTGCACTGAAGCCATCCTAGGCAGATGGATGTTTATCCTATTCTTAAAATCTCCAGGGAAGTGAATTCTCTACAACATCCCTTGGTAACCTTCTCCAGGGTTTTATCAAATGTATGGTGAAGAAGTTCTGATGTAGAAGCCAATAAACATATTAACCATATGAGCCAAGCTCCAAGCACTGCAAAGGGGAATGTGTTTGGGCACTTCGTCTTAATGGCAGAGAGATGTATTTACAAAATAGGTTGTACAAACAGAAACCATTTGCCAGGAGCAGATGTGGGAAGTTGATTCAAGAGAAACTGCCACAATAAATTCTGTTCCAACTCATGAGCAATGTGAATAAGTTATTGTTGGTTATAACTTTTTTTTAAAGTAAGTTTATTTCCTTGTCAACTCCCAGCTTTAGTTACTAAACCAGAATTGTGAGCAATGGAGAGAAAAAAAAAAAAAGTCCATAGCTGCAAAGTTTTCAAATGACTAGGATTCTGTGAAAACTAAGTCTTAGCAAACAAAACATATATGCTGTTATAACCGTTTATTTCTTTCTCTGTATATTACACCTTTCCTGCAACGATTGCATAATATTTTAAAAAACAGAAAAAAAAGATAACCATCACAATAAATTTAAAATGTAAACCAACTTCTGGTGGAAAGATCTAGCCATATATCTAACTAAGGTGCTTTTAACTGGAAATGGACATTTAACTAGGCTTTAAAACCACTAATTAAAAACAGAAAATGCACGGAACTCTCTCTAGAAGACTCTGTGCTAGGACCTCCTGTTGCACGCCCCCCCTCCCTACCCCCCCTTATCACAGCAATCTCTCCATGGAGACGATCCGCTTGCAGGCACCCATTTGCTCCCAGTACAGAAGCTCCCGTGCACACAGTGCGCCACAACAACGTTACGATTTAAAGGGAGAGGAGAGAAAGGTAATGCCAAAATATACCCGAGAGGAAAAGAAATATATCCCATCCCCACAACGTGCTCCAGGTGTTGAAATTTTGTAACCACTCCCCTGCCTCAGCAAGTTTTATCCCTCTGGAAATTCGGCATAATTTCATTTTCATGATTTAAGTGTTGCTGCACAACAGAGAACACACTATTTAACTGTCTTAAGAGCCGGAGCCAGTGGCGGTTGGGGATAGGCGTGCCCCTCAACGCACTTTAGGAGCCTTTCCTACAGAAACAAATCCAGTAAAATTAAGAAAGGCAAAGCGTTCTCAACTCAGCAGGGGCCCTGGTGTGAAGCAATTTATCAAAATTAAAATATTTCACAGATCATTTCTTCCGAAAAGTTTTCATGCTGTCAATAACCAACAATTCTTTTCCTCTTGGAGTGGCAGCTACTTACTCTCTAATAAAAAGCCGAGGCCTAGGAGCGTCAGGAGACCCGCGGAGCACGCCTCCTGCCCCCATGAGCCCGGGTGCCGGCCGCGAAAGCCAGCCCTGGGGGAGCTACCCTCGAGACAGGGCTTTCCAGAGTCGCCGCAAAGCCCGAAATAGACGCGCTCGGGAAAGCAGCCGGCCGGCCCCCGCCCCCTCTCCGTGCCCCGCCGCCCCCCGCACTCACCATCGCCGCTCGCCTCGCGGCCGCCGCCCCCGCACTGCACGGGGCTCCAGGCCGACGCCAAGTTCAAACTTCGCCGCCGCTCCGAGGAGGCGGCGCGGGGCATCGCCGGCGGGGCCCAACGCGCTCAACAATGGGCAGCCGGGCCGCGCCCCGCGCCACCGCGCCCCGGCTACGGCGGCACGGCGGGCCGGGGGCGCGCGGCTGGAGGACGCCGGTCCCGCGCCGGGCGCCGAAGGTGCGGGGCGTTCGCCCGCCTCGCCTGGCCTCCCGCCCGGGCCCGCGCAGTCCACCCAGCGCCCGCCGCACCCGAGGGGCCGCGCCGGCTCGGCGCTCGCTCGCCACCAGGTAATCCCACAGGAAGCCTCCGGGATTGGCCCGGGCGCTCAGGACCGGATTTGCATTTCAATGGCAAAGAAGGCTCCCTAAGGTTTGAAAGCGGATTCTGGGTGGAAGCGTCGCGCTGCACTCGCCCCTCCGCGGTCCTCGGGTCCTCGCGGTACTGAGGGGACCGAGCACACACTCTCAGTCCCTCTGCTCATTCAATCAGGAAGGTGTCTTAATTACCCTCCCCCATTGTGAAACGCAGAGGAATCCGAAAGCAACATATCAACTTTAAGAAGCCCGCGCTCGCTTTTCAGAGGCTATACAGTTAGTAATTGATCAAATGAAGCATGAATGAAGCAAGGTAAAAAGCTCGCATTACAAGGAAAATAACCATCCTTTTTCTCAGCTTCCCGTCTTAGTGTAAGTCACAGCAGAGATGCAGGTGGTGGCGAGTGCCGCTGAAGGCTCCCTTCCTGCCTGGGCTGTTTTTGTTTCCATGAGCGTCGTCTCTGATTAGACCAGAGACGTGATTATTTCGGTCGTCATGACTGTAATTTCGGGAGATTATTCAGCTTTGCAAACTTTGGGATTTTAGAAAATATATCCATTTGCATTTATTTTGCATTGATGATACGGGCATCCAATTAATATTCTAAAGGAAGGGATGGTGCTAGTTTAAGTTTCATGTTTCTTCAAAGGTTCTTCCAGCCTCTTTCAACGGAGGTAGGATTTTTTTTTCCCCCTCAGTCATCTCTTAATTGCTCTCATGGCTCATCTCCAGGGATGAAAGTAACAGTAAGGCTTGAAATTGGCTTTATTCTAATTCAAGCAGAAACCTTGTTGTTAAATGTCCAGGTTCTGTATTTAAGGTAATAAATATGCATATAGACACAGAGAAGACCTCGGTAGGTAGGCAATAGAAACCTCCCTTACCGAACAGCTGATACAACATTTGCCTTTACTTGGCTGTGCTCTTATATCCTAGCAGAATGCAGGAGCATTAGCAGCCACGGCAACCACTGAATAAACCTCTTTACTGAAATCTTCATGGACAGGCTCCTCCTTCCCCCATAAAGTATTATCCTCCCTAAAATTGTATTTTGTTTTACCTATGGGTATCACAAGCAGTTACCAACACATACACACCTGTCACTCAGTCATGGGGAAACCACAAACATTGTTACCAGGCATTGGAAGCAAAGAGGTTAATACGGTTTGTTCTATGTCCTGATGTCCTGTGGGAATCCTGTTTGGGGGAAAGGTAGGTGATGTTCAGAACTTAATCTTTGAAGACGTGGTCAGCGCTTGCAGTTTGTAACACACATTGCTTCTGCTACTGGTGTGGGGTGGAATAAGAAGTATTAGCTGGAGAACACAGCCGGGAGCTCTGTGGGCAGAATAGATAAGGCCTCCTCTCCTGCTGCTGCTTTATCTTGTTTTCTTTTCTTTTTCTTTTTTTTTTTTTTTTTTTTTGAGACCGAGTTTCACTCTTGTTACCCAGGCTGGAGTGCAATGGCTCGATATCGGATCACCACAACCTCCACCTCCTGGTTCAGGCAATTCTCCTGCCTCAGCCTCCTGAGTAGCTGGGATTACAGGCACACACCACCATGCCCAGCTAATTTTTTGTATTTTTAGTAGAGATGGGGTTTCACTATGTTGACCAGGATGGTCTCGATCTCTTGACCTCGTGATCCACCCGCCTCGGCCTCCCAAAGTGCTGGGATTACAGGCTTATCTTGTTTCCTAAGTGCTCTGGGTCAGGTGAAATCTCTTAAGGGAAGAACAGATCCCTCAACTTCTGTGTGAAACATCACTTTAAATTGGTGATTAAAACCACGATTTGGGCCCAAATCTCACCTCCCACATAGCATGAATGTTATACCAGTGAAATTCATCACTATGACCAGAGGTCCCTGGGCTTCCTTTGTAACATAGATTCTGGAAAAACACGTTTAACTTGTATCTGCAATGTAAAGGCATCATCAGATATTTTTAGACGGAAGCAAGCAACTTGTCTCATGGGATCAAAAGTAAGACACGAAGAAATTTCAGCAACGATACAAAATTATGCTAATGTCTCTCTGTGTGAGCTAGGGGTTAGTTTCCTCACCTGCTGCCTCAGTTCTCCTTTGGCAAAGTGGTCTGTCCCTTCCTTCACAAGACAAAGGAATGACCTAAAATTGTTACACATATCAAGTGTGTGTGTGTGTGTGTGTGTGTGTGTGTATGTGTGTGTGTAAACTCCCAGCCACTGTTAAAGAGAGAGAACTCTGTAAAATCACACTGCCCTTTTGAGACTGCTTTCAGAAATGATGCATCACCTTAGAATCCGAAGCATTTTACTTTTGTTTACGTCAAATATATTAATGAAGAAATAAAGTTTAACAATGCTAAAATATTTTGTGAGAAAGTTACACATAAGAAAAAAGTGCACAGCTTGTCTTAGAAAGGGTTCCAGTCTAGAACTTATAATTTGTACATTTTTTTCTTTTGTTTAAAAGTGATTTTGTGTTAAACATTTTAATGGACAAATGATTCACCTGCCATTAACATTTACCCTTTTGACAAGGCGTGTTTAAATAGGCTATCGTTTTCTGCTCCCTTTCCTTCCCCAAAGCCACCTGTGGTGCTGGAGTGGGTTGTGGGAAGGAAAGACCAGAGAGACTGGAATAAACCCCCAACATGGTAGAGCAGCACAGCACCCACCTGTACAGAGATACACCAGGCCGAGGCATGCAAGCTTCCCCAGGTGATCGTGAGTCAAAAACGGAGTTGGTGACAGAACCCACAACACTGGCAGTCAGAACAGCACTGTGTGCATTTATGCCAAGTCAGTTTCCCCCCTTCTCTCTTAAACATTTCAACCTACAAATCCAAATGTCAGTGTGAGATAAATGTAATGACCTGTAAAATATATTTAAAACCACATCAAATTAGAGTATGCTAACTGAGCATCTATTATAATTCAGAAGGGTCTCAGTCATATTACATACGTACAGATACTTAGAAGTTTGTTTTTTCACCACAGTTGATTAGTTAGGTGAGAATGAGTATCTTTTTCAGATAAAAAGCTCTAGAAATTTACGATTATTGTCATACAGCTCTAAATTCAGATCAAAAGCTCTAGAAATTTAGGATTACTGTCATACAGCTTCTAGATTCAGTACTTATTCTTTGAATATTTCATCTTAAGTCTAATACATTTTCAATTTCAGTCTAATACATTGAATTAATTGCATATTTTTAAAGACTACATCTAGAAATCATTATTTGGGTTCTAAATTTATTTACAAGTTTAGCTTCTTTTATATATTATGACAATTTGGTTTTGTAACATATGTTATACTTTAAAATATTAAACTAAATTTCACTTAGAAATAGTTTATGAGGCTGGGCTCATGCCTATAATCCCAGCACTTTGGGAGGCTGAATTGGGAGGATCGCTAGAGACCAGCCTGGGCAACATAGGGAGACGCCATCTCTACAAAAATAAAAAATAAAAAAATTAGCCAGGCATGATGGCATGCACCTGTGGTCCTAGCTGTTAATAATAGGGAAGCTGAGGCAGGAGGATTATTTGCGCCTAGGAGTTCGAAGCTACAGTGAGCTAGGACCGTGTCACTGCACTCCAGTGTGAACTAATCCTGCCTCTAAAAAAGAAAACTCTGTAATTACTTTCTTCTATACTTTTATTTTATTTTGAGATGGAGTCTCGCTCTGTCTCCCAGGCTGGAGTGCGGTGGTGCAATCTTACCTCACTGCAACCTCTGCCTCCCTGGTTCAAGTGATTCTCCTGCCTTAGCCTCCTGGGTAGCTAGGATTACAGGCATGCACCACCACACCCAGCTAATTTTGTATTTTTAGTAGAGACAGGGTTTCTCCATGTTGGTCAGGCTGGTCTCGAAGTCCTAAGCTCAGGGCTCAGGTGATCCGCCTGCCTCAGCCTCTCAAAGTGCTGGGATTACAAGCATGAGCCACTGGACCCAGCCTATACTTTAAAATATTACTAAATTTTACTTAGAAATAGGCCAACATAATTTCTTACCAATTCAGTTTGTCATTCCTTCTATTATTCCAACTAAATCTTCGATGTGAAAAACAATTATTTGAAACATAAGAATCTTTGCTAAATATTAACTCTTTCTTGCCATAGACATACAGTAAATTCCCTGGTTCATCTATACCAAGCTCGTCCAACCCCCAACTTGCAGGCTGCATGCAGCCCAGAATGGCTTTGAATGTCGTCCAACACAAATTCAAAAACTTTCTTAAAATATTATGAGTTTTTTTTGTGTGATTTTTTTTGGTATGCTTTTTAGCTCATCACCTATCATTAGTGTTAGTGTAGTTTATGTGTGGCCCAAGACAAATCTTCTTCTTCCAGTGTGGCCCAGAGAAGCCAAAAGATTGGACACCCCTACTCTATGCTGCTCTTTTTAATGTTGACATCTTAGAGAAACAATGTCTATGTATATGTTGAAAGTCAGTTTTAAGAATGGTTTAATGACCAGTATAAACCACACCCTACCAAGAAAGAATACACTTGAAATATATGTGGTTTGCTTAAGAGAGAAAGTATTAGGAAGAACAAATGATGTGCTGCTTTCTCAAATGGGTGTTGGGGTTTAGTGTGAACAATATATAACTTCTAGCATAATATTCACTTTAATAAATATTTTGAGTTTTTGGAACCCCTCACAACAAAAAGAAAAACGAGTGAACAACCATCCTAGATGTCTTAGAACAAATAAGATGCTAAAATCAAAATGTTAAGGAAATGCATTCAAGACCACGCCGACCCCTTAGAAATGATTTATTTCATGTAGTGAACATGAAGGAGGAAAACTCTATAATTTCTCTCAGCATCTCAGAGTTACTTTGTCTTTTCAAATACCTTTTAACCTCTCTATCACAGTCTTTTCCTTTAAATAGGCCAGTGAGCCCCCAGATCCTGTGAGCTGACACCTGTCTCACCCTCCCTCTGGACTTTAGGCCTCTTCTGTTGGCAGCTGATTCACAGTGACCAAAGCACCTCCAGGTTTCCTGTTGTTCTTTATAGCCCCAGAACTAGGGGCCCAAGTAAAGGCCTTAATGCATCCTGGCTATTATCCTGAAAGCTATGTAGAATAGTGCACAGGTGAGAACCCCAAAAAAAGTGAGAGGAGGA